TTATGATAGAGCTAAGGATTCTGCAAAACAAATGCAGCTTGAAAAATATTGTTTTATTGTCGACCCTAGGGAACCACATTCACACATATGTATCAAGTGATCTGAATCCATAATCTTGTTTACAAGTACATGTATATGCATTTCCAGGGTTTTAATAAACACCTTGTGTAAAATAGTAATGCATTTCTGTGATGGTGGGTTTTAATTTTTTGACAGAATTTCATGAAAACAAAGAAAAATTTTCAGTGTGTGTACATACATGTATGAGTGAAGTAATGAAATTCACTTTGGGTCACTCTATTTGTGCAACTGGTGGTTTTTTCCTTCTCATGACCAGACAATTTCAATAGTATGTGAGCTAAGCTGACATTATTCAATATCTTTTTTTCAAATGGTAAAATGCCAGGGAAATGACACATTCAAGAAGAATCCAATTTACAGCTCTCTGCGGATTGAGATCGTGCTTTCAACTTTAGAATATTGAACAGTACGCAACATCAAAATTTCCCCACATCAAGTGAAATCCCATTATTATGAGAAAAATTAGATCAGTGATTTGGAGAGGGGCTTCCTGATCATGGAGATATTGAAGAATAATCTGTGATAAAGTCTGTGCAAATCAAATAGTTCACCATCACTTTCTTTTGCGGCCGGTTATGGCAGTTTCACCTTTTGTTTAGGCATTAGGCAAAAATACAGATAATATTTCAAGATAAGTGAAACATTCTACCTATTTTAAGAGAAATGACAGAAAACTATTCATACTGATCAGGAGATTCTAACTACAAGGTTCTTTTTCTGAAAACATTGTTAAGCCTAAAGAACGAGCAGCTGTCTTAAAACCCAATCATCTGCAAAACCCATGGGAAAATGCCTGGGGTCTAGACGGACAGGTAAGAGACCAGGCAAACCAAAGGGCATTGTCTTCAACCTGTCAAATGAATTTTAACAAGTCACGCTTCATCCTTCACAAACCAGCTGATGATAATTAAGTTGTAAAAAATGAAAACGTGATAAAAAACATCTAGTTAATCACTCTTTGCATGATCTCTCATCTGGGCAGTGGTGGTGATGATTGTAGTGCTACACACTGTCACCTCATCTGGGCAGTGGTGGTGGTGATTGTAGTGCTGCACACTGTCAGCTCTCATCTGGGCAGTGGTGGTGGTGATTGTAGTGCTACACACTGTCACCTCATCTGAGCAGTGGTGGTGGTGATTGTATTGCTGCACACTGTCACCTTTCATCTGGGCAGTGGTGGTGGTGGTGATTGTAGTGCTACACACTGTCACCTCATCTGGGCAGTGGTGGTGGTGATTGTAGTGCTACACACTGTCACCTCTCATCTGGGCAGTGGTGGTGGTGATTGTAGTGCTGCACACTGTCACCTCTCATCTGGGCAGTGGTGGTGGTGATTGCAGTGCTGCACACTGTCACTTCTCATCTGGGCAGTGGTGGTGGTGATTGTAGTGCTACACACTGTCACCTCATCTGGGCAGTGGTGGTGGTGATTGTAGTGCTACACACTGTCACCTCATCTGGGCAGCGGTGGTGGTGATTGTAGTGCTACACACTGTCACCTCATCTGGGCAGTGGTGGTGGTGATTGTAGTGCTGCACACTGTCACCTTTCATCTGGGCAGTGGTGGTGGTGATTGTAGTGCTCCACACTGTAACCTCTCATCTGGGCAGTGGTGGTGGTGATTGTAATCCTGCACACTGTCACCTCTCATCTGGGCAGTGGCAGTGGTGGTGGTGATTGTAGTGCTACACACTGTCACCTCTCGTCTGGGCAGTGGTGGTGGTGATTGTAGTGCTACACACTGTCACCTCTCATCTGGGCAGTGGTGGTGGTGATTGTAGCGCTGCACACTGTCACCTCTCATCTGGGCAGTGGTGGTGGTGATTGCAGTGCTGCACACTGTCACCTCTCATCTGGGCAGTGGTGGTGGTGATTGTAGTGCTGCACACTGTCACCTCTCATCTGGGCAGTGGTGGTGGTGATTGTAGTGCTGCACACTGTCACCTTTCATCTGGGCAGTGGTGGTGGTGATTGTAGTGCTCCACACTGTCACCACTAATCTGGGCAGTGGTGGTGGTGATTGTAGTGCTGCACACTGTCACCCCTCATCTGGGCAGTGGTGGTGGTGATTGTAGTGCTACACACTGTCACCTCTCGTCTGGGCAGTGGTGGTGGTGATTGTAGTGCTACACACTGTCACCTCTCATCTGGGCAGTGGTGGTGGTGATTGTAGTGCTGCACACTGTCACCTCTCATCTGGGCAGTGGTGGTGGTGATTGCAGTGCTGCACACTGTCACCTCTCATCTGGGCAGTGGTGGTGGTGATTGTAGTGCTGCACACTGTCACCTCTCGTCTGGGCAGTGGTGGTGGTGATTGTAGTGCTACACACTGTCACCTCTCATCTGGGCAGTGGTGGTGATTGTAGTGCTACACACTGTCACCTCTCATCTGGGCAGTGGTGGTGATTGTAGTGCTGCACACTGTCACCTCTCATCTGGGCAGTGGTGGTGGTGATTGTAGTGCTGCACACTGTCACAAATGCATTTTATCATTCATTCAAACATGTACATCATTATCTAGTACATTTGTAGATACCGTATTAATTCATATTGAAGCATATCCCCATCAGAAATGCATGTAAACCAAAGACAGACACACCTCATTGATTTATGTAAGTCTGCTACCAACAAAGCAAACACGATACCATGTATAGTCGATAACCTTGACAACATGATAAAATTGATGTATCATTTTAGTGTGCACCATGGCCGTAAAAGACACATTTTTGTTGAATGAAGCTTATTAAAAATAGCCAAGTATAATAAAAGCATTCATAAATCAAGTGAAAAAATTAAAACGTGTCTATATACATGTATGTTATATGTCTGAGGCCAAACAGACGTTGCATATACCGATATCTAGCAATATGCAATCTAACTAATCATCATGAAAGTTTCGTACATCCTTGATCTACATGTATCTTTTACAATGTAGTCCCTCTGGCTATGGCTATAACTTTTGCAAATTTTATATGTGCTCAACAAACTTGAGAAAGTGATAGCACAATTTTATCCAATGAGAAATCACCGATGCAAATTTTATGTGTGAAAGAAAAACAAAATCTTGATATATATAAAATATTGAATGGGGCATTAATCTTTAACACAAAGTGTTTAAAGGTACTTCTCGCCAGAGATCATTTTTTATGGAAACGTTTAATGAAGCATAATGTTTAATTGTCTTTCTGCGTTGTACAATTTCCTTTTCTTTCTACAAAAGTAGCAAATACCTGCTGAAGGAGTGTTCGTTTTTTTGTTACAGACCAATGCCCTTGGTATCCCTAGTTTAGGTTGGACTGGTTGGTCAAAGACAAACATCTCAACTATGCAAGGCCGGATTTCAAAGAAAGAAGGAAAGAAAGTTGCATGGTAGTGTGACCGGTAATCATTTATAAAGGTTGCTCCTGCAGTGCATTGGCTCTGGTTGAAAGATTATGATGAAAGATGGGTGGGGGTTTATTCACATCATGCATGTACAGTCAATGCTTTTAAAGTGCCGAACTTCAGAATACAACTAAGACCGGAATCGTGTAATTTAGTCTTATACAAAGGCCAGCATAAGAAAATAGGCTAGTATTAATGAAAGTAAACAAATGCATATTTATTTCCCATATAAAGAAATACAAGTCATGTGTCCCATATAAAGTTATGTGTATTCCAAATAAATTAATGGATGAACCAAGGCCTGAAAGAAAGTGGTGCTCACATACACATGGGTCCAAATTTGTATAAAAAGTTCATTGTCTAGTTCAAATTTTTTTTTTAATTTCAGATTTTTTGGGTCAAACACACAAAAACTGGAAGGCATATGGTCCAAAGGCATGTGATGTTTTCTCTTAACATGTCCTTTCTCGCTTCCCTGATCCAAACACACGTGGTTGGGGACGGGCATCTTCATGGAACAGAATTGACAGATGTTCGTTCATAGAGAAGCAACACAAAAGTGACTACAAAAAATAAAATAGTACAAACAGACAATACTCACGGTTGATGTGATCGACATAGTAGACTCCAAAGTTTGGGTCGTAGACCTCTTCCCATCCAAATGGCAGTTCTGTCGGGGGTAAAAAAAAAGCAGAAATGAAAACGTCACTCAGAGAAACCAAGCATGTATTTTGGCATAGCCTTTCCACTTGGGTGCTCAACCAGGTAAATGATGGAATTTCACCTCTTCACTAAACATGTTTACTCATGTACTTTTCACTGTGTGGAGACAGCGTGGACTGCAAACACATGCAGAGGTATGCTGTTCATGTTTTCTCAGTGTCCGTATAATTCATGCAAGGAATTTTTCTTCTTTAAATTTTGTGCTACCAGGGGATTTATTTACTAAACAACCATTTTTATTTTTTTCCTTTGAATATCACAAAGCATTCAACAATTTTCGTAACTGAAAACAATGCAGAACATTAATAAAGATGAATTTGATGCGATATTAAAAAAGGATCACTAGTTATCTTTTTGATGCCATCTGTTTCCGGATTATATTATATGAAGCAATAGATAACCCTTTGAACGCCATTGTTTCCCGCCCAAAATTGGGAGTAACATTTTGCACATATATTTTTCAGTATTTACCGATAATATCGCTAATGTGGGAATAAATAAACATGTCTCATTCGCTATAGGTTTGGATCAAATTAAAAAAAAAAAAATATGAAAACAATTAATGAAAGTCCATTTTGTAAAAAGGCGATAAAACTTTAGTACTTAACAAATGTTAACTCTTTGAGAACCATTATGTGCCGAAATTTTAGAGCCAGATTCATTTTGTAAATGGTGACAAAAATTGTCTTTTGCACTCAAAGTTTTAACTGACCTAACTAATGTAGTTGACCAAACAACAGTCAATACAGTATGTTTTAAGCCACATTTTGATTCTATTTACAAAATTTTAACCTAACTAGGTAGGACAAAATACACTGATATTCAAGGACGCTTACTAACACCACCAGATTAACTACTACATGTAGTATGACATTTCCATCATGCCAATCATACCTCAGTTGATCCTCTTATCGGAATGCGAGTCACAATAAACGTCGCAATATCATTGATACAAGATATATCTATCAACAGTTTTAATTTTCCTGATATGATATTTTGACGCTATTTGTTGAAATGAAATTTCCCGATAGTCACTGTACCATGCTGTCATAAAAACTCACTGCAAAAACTTTTCTAATTTGCCGAAAAATTGGTTTACAGTATTTGAAATTATAAGTGGAATTTAAAGCGTCACTTGTCAATCTACTGTTCATTTATGGCTTCTGATTAGTTGGTCACATGCACTGCGGGCTATACACAGTTCGAGACATAAACACTGCTCTTGGTCGTAACAATACAAACAACCTTCAACTAGGATCGAGCATGACACGTAATTTTGACAATTGTTTGTCATTACTTGTCAGTAAATCACAACTGGCTTTTAGCAGCTCCCTATGAAGTAGCCGCTTTCAATTTGTGCATTTATGATCATAGTGTCGCATTTAGAGATGAAATTATGTATACTTTTACTATTGAACAATTCACTCACCATTTCCTATGCAGTCAGCAAAAGTTTGTGGCTTAGTTAACCTGCAAATGACAAAAAAAAATAGAACCTGAATGCAATGAATTTCAGTTATGTCCCCTCCCCCATCAAATTTACACGGATAGCGCCCTCAAGATAAATAGCATTATCTGCAGTTGCCAAAACTGAAATTTGCAGTATTTCTGTTATAAAAATAAATTCATTTTCAATTGATATTTTAGAAATGTCACCGGCATCTACAGAAGAAATAACACTGGCTCATATACTTTATATATAATATAAAATCTTGAAATCACTTGTAAAGTGGTTCAAGTAGGGATGACGATTTTCACATACATTGTAGTACAAAGTGTTGTAACACAGTGTTCGTGCAGTCGTGGAGTATACCATTTTCGTTTAAATTAAAAAACTTTAATCTTTCCCCCACAGTGTTTAAAAAATAGTAAGATAAAACTAGCCCACTTGTTTACATCTTCCATCTGAAGAACAATGTGAAAACATCAAAGGTAGTAGAAAGTTGTCAATCCTAATGAGCCTTTAAGAGCTATTCATCTAACTTTGCTATGCCAGATCTATTCAGCCGATATCTAACCGCACTCTGAACATGAAAAAACAATGGCAGAAGGGGACAAAGGTCAAGATTGGAATGTCGTATCTAGTCGCATAGTTGTCGATAAAAAAAGACAAAAGCTTGAAAGGTCATAGATGTTTTTTTCCCACAAGTTGTATTTTTATCTGATCAGTAAATGAGTACGGACATTTATTGCAGACTGTCTAATGGAGTTTTATGATTTACTTTCTCTAGGCTAAAAATTCCTTCTCATTTAAAAAATTAACTCAACCGAAGATTTGGGTATAAAAATAAAAAAAACGATGAAATGAACATAAGTTGGGGCAGTAAAAAAAAAAGATGACAATAAAAAAATAATTTTGTATCAAGATTAGAAGTTATTGTCAAAGTTTTGGAAAAATTGTTCAGTGAGTACAAGAGACAATAATAAAGACAAGATACTGCATTCCTAACAGGATTTATGTTTTTGATTTTTTTCTCTACAGGGAATTGAGCCTATAATCTCCAGTGACTCTTGGCAGCCTACCAAAGAATTTGTCCAGCTTTCAAGCCACGTGCAAGAAAAACAATGTTATATGGGCTGGCTAATTACAAATTCCTGAGCAGCAGGTGATGCTACAGGTGATAATTGAGGGGGAATCTTTTGAGAAACAACGAACAGAATGAAACAATGAATTAATTAGATTTATTAATATTAAATCTAAAACAAAAGAAAATTACATGTATTTTGAATGTATCAATAGTGGATATTATTAGTACGATTAAAATTTTAATTAAAAGCAAAAAAAAACATTTGGTAATTATACATACAACATAAAATTTCTTTTTGCTGGCCAGCCGTTGTAAAGAATGTAGTTATTTATATATCAGTATTTCTGCTACAAATGACTTGTGTAGTGAAATCAATTTATGGTAATTTGCTATCCTACATGGAATGCAATCTATTTATCAACTAATTTTCTACACATTTGTATTATCAGAATTCCTTTCGTGATAAGGTGATAATATCTAAACAATTTTTGTTTTGCCTTAACACATGACAAAAGAGAAGTAGGTATGTTGTCAATGTTGTGAAACTGTACAGACTAGTAGCTCTCAAAAAACAGTTTTTTATCTGCTCTCATAAAAAAAGTAAATAACCCAATAAATTCATGACATTTCTGAGCCTATGTTTCTTCTTTGTACAAAGTATGCATTTCTCAAATAATTATCCTTAATAATTATATCAGTTATATTTTTCCTTTTCACCATTACAACCTTTTCAACCTTTCTGCATAAACAAAAAAACTTGGAGGTCCGGCATTTCATCAAAGTGGACAAAATACTATAAATAGGACAGCTGCACTGTTTTTGTTATGTTGTCTACAAAAATATCGAACAATCACGAATGCAAAGCTGGTTAAAATGTCACACGGTTTTAATCCTTCAGAATGACCCATCGGCACGTTACCCGTGCCTTGAATAAGCCGACCAATTGGCAAACAACTGACTGTGTGTATACTCCATTTTTAGCATAACCACTGAAAGCGAAATAAGACTTAACAAAAATAATTCTGTTTCCTCTACATGTACGCAAACACTTGAAAACTTTTCAAAGGACATTTTGCTTACAATGACAGCACATAACGTGTTACATAAAAGCTTAAAGAAAGGTGATTGGTTGAATGGAATGTGTGTCATGAAAAGTATGCAGCTAACATTAAAAAATAAAAGAAACTTTTCCAAACTGCAGTTGTTGAAAATTATCAAAAATTGAACAATCACTTAAAAATAAATTACTCCAACAAATTTAAATTATAAAAATTTTTTGTGTGGCACAAACATTTAATTTTTAGGTGAAGATTTAAGCAAAAAGTTGAGGCATGATAGAAAAATATAGTTAGCATTAAAAAAAACAGTCTCACCTTACTGACAGCACTTTAGAAAAAAAGAATACCATGAAGAAAAGAGGCAAACATCTAAACCCATTGGGATCTGGCTCCTTCAAGGAATGTAAACTGCTATGTTTATCACACTTAGGCTAGACCAATTCCAAAAATAGGGGTGTTAGGGGATATTGGAATGTGGCAGGGTGTCAACATATGCAAATTCGGTAGTGTTAAAAATGGGGCAATGTTGTTTACATGACCTGGTTTGACTGTTGTTACAAACTTAGTTCCCGGATGCATGCTGGCTCTTTTCATGAATCCTTGTCAATTGCCAATTTTGCGATGCGATGTTTCAAGTATATGTCATAAGGGAGTTAAAAAATGCGACTACGTTATGTCGCTGACATGTGTGGCATTTGTCAAATTAACGCTGGAAATAGATCTTCACTGGCAGAAAAATTCTCTGCATCTTTGAACAGTAATGCCACGCTCAGTTCATAGGTAACAGAAATGTTAGCTACATGTATTAAAATAACCAACTGAGTTCAGTGACAAGAAAGTTTCTAATGTATTTGTGAGATTATTCCAAATATGGAATTGTGTTCTACTTATATGGGCAATGATAATGACAGAACAGAACTGCAGCGATGTAGACAAGACAGGAATGGTGATTTAAATAGTGATACAGTAACTTAATTATGCTGGTGAACAAAGCTAATTTAATTTTTAAATGATAAACACTGAGAATGATTATTTGATCTGGTTGTTTAAAAAGAAACAACCATCCAAGAAAATCGATGTATTGTCACAAATAACTAGACATTTTTGTCATGCAAATTGAAACCAAAAAGGCGTAAATAGGTGCAATATATGTGTCAAATATGATTGAAAATGGATCCCAAGGCTTGGAGATATAGGAGTATGGTCAAAAAGCAAGATGGCCACCAGTCAGCCATTTTTGAACTGATTGTAAAACAAAATGTCATGGACAATAATCTAAAATGAACAATGTATGTATAAAATTTAAACAAAAAGTGACAAAGCATGCATAAAATACCACATTGCAAAACACAAAATGGCTGCCAGTTGACTATCTTTGATCCGATCGTGAAATGAATCGTCATAGACACGTATTCTAACATGTATAATGTATGTACCAAATTTGCATAAAAACTGACAAAGCATACCACATTTTCAACAAAATGGCTGCCAGTCAGCCATCTTGGATTGAATCACTAAACCACTGCATGTGTGTATGTCCCAGATAAAGTACTTGGCACATGCGAAGAATGAACAGATTTGGTCCACAGGGTTCTGAAATAAGACTCTGGACGAAAGGATGGATGGAGGCCGAATTATAAGTCCCTGTTTTGAACAGGGACTAATAAAAGTTTACTAGTAAAGTTGTTGGCAATAAATGTTGGCGCTGAGGCAGCAATCAACGACCATAACTTACATATCATTTCACATTTGTAGATATATCAGTGACTAGATAATTACAGAAATCCATTACTAAAAGTGATGAGTGAATGCAGACGATAAATGCATTCCAACTCCAGACAACCCAGTTTACTTGACCTGACTGACATTATTTATGCAAGATTTATCATCAAATTTGGTGTCATTGTTTTTTTAATTTGCAAAAGCTCTCTTTCTGACAAGGGTATCTACCAGCATGTATTTAAAAACTATATATATAATATTTTTTTTTATAATACAAAACAGCATGATTATTTAATGTTGCATAATAATATAGAAGTACACAAAAGCCAAAAATTGCATTGCATGTGTGCTGGAACATTTAAAATACCGCTGATTTTGACCACAGGCAGAGTAAATATGGTACAGTATTTATCCTAGAAAAGCTCCTCTACTATAACTTCATTTATTATGCACTCCACCACATAACCACATCACCGCCTCAAAAATCTACTGAAAACTTGGCAAAGATATAAGGAATGAAAATGATCTGATCTCAAAAATCAGTTTTTACTACATACACGTACATTCATATTAATAATTATACATATTACATCTAGCACTACCCAAACAGAACTGGGTCAATTTCCAACAAAACTACCTTGCCCTTAATGCATGTAAAGATGAGGACAACGTAAATAATGCTAAATCTATTCTGGAAATAAAAAAATCCGGAAGTGCATTTATGAAACTACATACATTCGCTTAAATGACACAAAGCTGCACTGAGCAACATGTTGTCTTCGTGTATCGTATCGTATAGTTTAGATAACAGACCAGTTACAACACAGTTACACTTCGCTAGAAGACAGTGCGATGACCTATTTGGAATATAGGTGTTATATTCAATCTATCATAATGCCAGATATACCAAATACTTTCATGAAGGAAATACAGCCAAAAATTTCAGCATATGGAGGTCGGGGGAAACAGCAGACCAACAACTGTGCAGTTGTCAGTCTCTGTCGAGAGACAACCAGCCAATAATGGAGCAACAGTCATGCCCCATTATTTATTTAAATAGGAAATGATTAGTTGATGATTTGTGGTCGAGTAAATGCAAATTAGTTGTAGGGTCATGTGTACTGTAACTTAAACTTGTATCTACAACACAAATAACATAATA